AGTTGATTGTTGAGTCTCATTCACAGGGTTTCAAAGTGTCTTTATTTGACGTGCTGGGAATGAGACTCAACTATCAACTATCTTTCTCGCCATTAGAACAAGGAGGAGCCAGAGGAACCAGATTTTTCTGACAGAGTATCTGTCTCATGTACTACTGATATAGTGAAAATTTAAGCAAATATGACAAAAGTTATTTTTTATTTTATTTTTTATTTTTTTAAAATTACTTATTATTTAACCAACTTATAACTAAACAAAGTTGGGGATAGCTCACGTTTTTCTTCAGGAACCACTTTGACTTTTTCACATTTCATCAGCTAACTCCTCTCATTAACCCTGGCCCACCTACAAGTATTAACTATTTAAACTTGTACTGCACCTCACATTTGTGTCGTTAAATAATACATGATGTTATTTCTCCTCGGAGAGTTTTTGTTTACAGGCCGGTGAGGCCAGCATAAAATAACATTGCACATCATGTGGGTAGGAAGCATCCACACATTCACAGCAGTAAACAAGGATAAACAAGTTATTCATTTATACACATATGCTTTATTCACAATGCTATTTTTACTCCTGCATCTACAAGAGCAGAGAGATCCATCCAACAGCCAAATTATTGCAGAGGGTCAAATGCTGTGCGATCTGCACTTGGTAATATATCCACTGTATGAGTACAGTTCAACTTGGTTTCTACTTTTTATATTCATGTATTTCCAGCATTTTGCATATATGTGAATGCCAAGAGCAGCTTAAATTAAAAGTGGACATACAGTATGCAAGTAAACAAGACTGTGACTCAGAGTGAGAGGAGGGTTGTAGCCTCTTCACTGTTGTATTGCTAGTTCTCCTCAGTGTTTGCTGTGTATGATGAATAAATCGTGGGTGGGACAATAGATCGGCCCCGGGCCATCTGTCCAGCCATCATGCACCGGACAGCACTGATCGAATTGCCACAAAACTTCGGAGAATGTCATGTGGTTTGTCTTGCCACTCTTAAAACTGCAGTTTGGCCTAAAGGAGGAAATTATTTGTCACACACAATATCTTTGAAACCACTAATCGTTTTTACCACATGAAAGAATGATGTGTGGCATTTCTCCATTGTGGCCTCAGGGGGTGAGAAAACATTCACTCATCAAGTTTTGCTTAAATTTGGAGAGTTTTAATTTCAATACATCACATCTTCAACATTAATGTGTATGTAAAATGTATTTGTTAATTCTTCTTTGAGCTGCATTGGAAGTCTCAAAGACTACTGACTAAATCTGATAAAGAAAAAAAACCGTTGGGGAAATGATGCATTTTATGTCCAAATTCACAGGCATGGCTGCGACGCATTCTCGCTCTGTCGCGGTCACCAGAGCTGATCGCGCCCATTCGAGAAAATGCTCATAATTCCACCAGAAGCGTTGCGGCTTGTCCCGGGAGTGTCTCTCCACTCTGCTCAGCTGGTCTTGTTGTGTCTAGCAGCACAGAGCAGATTGCACTGGCAGGAAGTCAGACACAGAAACTGCGTAGAGAATCTGGTAAATTTTCTAAATAAAATGGAGCAAATTAACATTGTGCCACCAGACCAGAATAGTCAGTCAGAGGAGATTTTAAACACTCTTGCCGGGATTTGAAGACGCCTAGATCACACGTTACACAGGTTTGCTTTCGAGCATTCAAAATGGCACTGAATGACACATGGCAGAATTTCACTGTAGGTACTGCTCAAAAGGGTACATTCATCAACAACCTGGCCTGGATGAGAGATACCTAGAAGGGCAGAGACGGATGGAATAAAGAGCACGACAGAAACTGAAACGGACAGAGGGAGCGAAATGAATAGAGATTATTTCAGTTTAAAAGACAGATGTGATGGGTGAAGAAATTAACAAAAGGTGAAAGAATGGGGTCATGTCATTGGAGCTTCCATTTGTAATGATGAGAGGGTATAAACAAACAAAAAAAAATGTTTTATAATTTAATGCTAGTACTACTACTACTACCCAAGGTCCAGTGAGTAACAATTAGAAGGGTCTATTGGCAGAAATGGAATATAATATTTATAGGTGTGTTTTAATGTGTATAATCACCTGAACCATGGTTCCCAACCTGGGGGTCACTATGGGTTGCTAAAGCTCTGCAGGGGGTCGCAAGACCTTCTTAATTATAAGGGTTGTAAGAAAACTTGAAAAATATACACATGAGTAGGCCTATATCTCAGCATTTCATTCATTTCTGTGAAGAAAACTAAATGAAATTCTAATGTTCAAAGCTTAGATTATTATTTAAGATATAAAGTAAAGAGAAGACAGTTAAGACCTGAACACAAGCTATATTCACAGATCCTTCAATTTCAGCTTAACTGCCTCATCCTGCATTGGAAAAGTAGTTAAAACAACAGAAGAAGAAAAAAATAATTTATCAAAAAAAAATAAGAATGTTTGTTTAAAAAAAAATAAAAATCATACAGAGAAAAAAAGTTCCTAAAAATATCAGGAAAACTTGTCTCTGATCAAATAATTTGCTCAAAATGAATCAAAATCACACATAACTGTTATAATTAGTCAGGGGTCATCAGTTTACTCAATAAGAGAGAAGGGTCCCTTTAAAAAAAAGGCTGGGAACCTGAGCTTTAAGAGATCTGACACTTAAAAACCTTTGAAAAGAATGATTTCAAACCAACAAAGTGAATTGAATGGAACATGAAAATGCCATTCAGGTATGGTACATGATTCATATAATGACCAGATCTGAAACACTGTTTCAGAAGTTTTTCTAAGATCTCCATCAGTAAGCTCTATTATCCAGTTACAATTCTGAATATAACAACTGATTTTATGACGTGCAGCAATCCACACTAGCATTTTGTGCAGGTACATATACAGGCTGATGTAGATGTCAAAAGAATGCTGTCCCCTCACGTTGACATAAAGAGACAGACAGCAAAAAAACTCGAATATGTTTTTTGTTTTTGTTTTGCGCTTTCCTCTGGGACATGCAGTCAATCTCTGAATTGAGAAAACTAATATAAAAACGTGGTAAGAATTGAGGATGCATTCAAGGTCAAAGTGAAGTTCTCCCATTCAAAGGTTAAGGACAAGCTTTTGACAGTAACTTAAGGTAGAAATAAGATTGTGTCTGGGATGTCAGAACCGAAATAAGACCACAGTGCCTCTGTGCACCTTTGACCTGTAGAATCACTCCAGCGCGCACATACGCAGCTACATAACCACAACCACATGAATCATGTTAGACAAATATAGAGTGACAATGACAGGCGGGAGAGAGAAAGAGAGAGGGAGAGAGAGATGCTTCCTTCACTTCAAGGCTAAATAGGAGGGACTAGACCAGAAAGGGCTAATGTCCGCTGCGAGGGAGATCGGCACACCATACATCTCCGCGCTCCGTCCGGTCACACTCCGCGCTCTCTCTCTCTCCAAATATCTGCGGGGTCTCCTCACCTCTCCCCGAACCCTCTCCGGGCTCTCCACACTCCCCCACCGCCCCCCCGGCTCTGTCCCTCTCTCTCTCCTCGCAGGGGTCTCCAGGCGCGCGCCGTGCGTCGCTCCTCGCCGGTCTTTGCGCACGGACTCTTGTCCACATTCCCACTTGAATCCGCTGCTCCTCTTATCGCTTCATTCCTCTGAGGACTCGGGAGGAGCGTCAGCCCGCAACCCCGACCCAACTCTATTTTCTCTTTTAAGGTGCAGTAATTAGTCATTCGCTCTGAGCTCGGGCTGAAGAACAATGTGATTCTGGCTCATGGGGATTTAGTGTCGTGACACGCTTTCGGGACCCGGCGTCTCCACAAGGAAATGGTGAGTTCAATCCGCTTTATTCTCGCAGATTATCAGCCTGCTGCGCCGTGCGGGTCTCCGGGTCGCCTGACTCCAGTGGGAGCGTTTGACCTCTGTAGATAAAGAGCCGCTCACAACCCAGGGGATAGTGTGACCTTCCTCATGTTGAAAAAGTATTACTTTAATTTGAAGTTTTGTGGTTGTCAGATGTGAGGTTAAAGTCACCCTGGAGGTTTCTGGAATCCCCGGATGGGTAGCAGTTATAGTCCCATATTAGATATACATTTGTAAGCGAGCTTAATCTAAACTTTGTGGCATTGTGTGATCGTTATAATGATGTAGGAACGTGTGGTGGTGGTGGCAGGGCTAATAGGACGTGTGAAGGTATGTGCATACATCAGGTAAATTACAGATTCTAGCTGCCAAAGTTTGCTTTTGCTGTGTAAAATGTGTAAAGGGAATATCACAGCCTGTAGTTTTCATGGGGTCTTTTGACCTCCACGCGCAGGAACTCCCATCTTCCCGCTTCATATCGATCTGTTTTAATGGGAATCACATAGTTTCCATACATGTGACTCCAGGAGTGAGCCTCTCTGTTCCGATCAGTAATCTATCGATAAGGAGGGCTATAGATCCACAGAGTAGAGTGACTCTCAGCTGTCACATGTTGTGTGCGTGAAGAGACCCGCAGGATCCTGTAAGTGAACAGCCAGTGCTGGACGATCAGTTTATTGGGAGTTATTGTGTTTCTGTGCAGCCACTAACTGGCTTGATTGTTGACTTTTTATGGGTTTGATTCTGATTGAACTCATTTGTGCTCTTTTATTTGGATATGTGGTTTCACTCTGTCCCTCTGCTCTTTTCTCGGGATGCTCTTAGCTGTTTTGTGACAAATCTTAAAATGAAAGTGAGTAAATATGCTTTTTATTTGACTTTCCATTGGTTTTCTCTTAAAAAACTGCAAAAAGCAGTGAAGATTTCAGGACTATTTAATGTTTATGTTTGGAGGTGGGAATTAGTAAGTAAGTCAATGAGTTTCTGGCTGCTACATTTTACATTTGATAGGATAATGTTACGCTATATCGATTGCACTAGTCAGATTCCTCAAAAATTTGCCTTGCATCTCTTTCATTTGTAAAACGTTCAAATGCTGTACAACATTACAGACAGACAGCTGCTTGCTTGACATTCAGTACTGCTTCTGAGATGTATTCCTGTCATTTGTACTTTAAACACTTCACTTGTACTTGAGTGATATTGCTGTTCAGTCACTCCAGCGCTTTGAATATTATGGTTATGTAATATCTATGGAGCAGACATGCAGGGGAACGTGCCTCGATCAAAGGTGCAGGTACAGTGTGTCTCTGTATTGACTGATATGATGTTTGGAGGATCACAGCTGTATCATTCACAGTTCACACTCTCTCCAGCTCGCCCACAGCCACTTAGAGCCTGAAGATAATGTGAGATGTACTGGAACGCAGCCAGAGTTCTCGCAATTTTACAGTCAATGCAAATGACTTCAGGTGTAAGTTCTACATCGCCGTGGGCGTCGGGACTCCACGACTGACATGGCTAAAATCTGTTTTTAAAGTTTCTGTTCTGCTTACGTAAGACACCCACATACGCAAGCACACACCCATTATTCACACTGGAACAATACACGTATAGTCAGTGCACACAGAGGCATCAGGAAGAGAAGATGTCCTCTTTCAGAAGAGATAAATAAGAAATAGTCTCTGCTCAGCAGCAGCAGCTTTCTTGAATCGACTTGTGGATGTAAATCTCTCCTCCCACACCATAAGAAGGAGAAGCTCTTCTGCAGAAGTGCCTGTGATTATGTCGGCTTTTATTGCTTTGCTTTCCTGTAGAGCTCAAGTTGGCCATTTGTTTGGAAGTCTGTGTACAGTATGAATAAGTGTGTGTGTGTGTGTGTGTGTTCTGTATATAACAGTGACTGCCTTAAAACTATGCAAGGTTGCGTATATGCACAAATTTGTGCGTCAGTGTTTTCATGTCCACTGAGGCTGTGTTTGCACCAGTTTAGGTTTGTTGCTGTGACACAAGGTGCGATCAAACCTACAGCTTATTTCCTTCAATCTAAATCACTGACTGACTAGCTGATTGGCAGCAGATTTAATTCATCTTCTCTTTGTTTCATGTTGGTATTTAATACTTTGGCAGCCGATCAGAGAGGAATCTTGAGATAAAATATCAGACTCTTGGGGAGAATTTGTCATTAGTTCTGACATTTTATGAAGTGTTTTCAACTGGGAGGAGGCCCCGGGGACCCAGAACACACAGGAGGGATTATATATGTCTTGGGGCCTGGGAATTCCTCGGGATCCCCCAGGAAGGGCTGGGGGGAGGGGGCAAGCTACCTAAGCTAAACTGTGTGACCCAGATGTGCACAAGTGGAAGAAATTAGACAAACAGATGCATTTATTTTCAAGGAAAAGGAAAACAGATTTATTCTGCTGTGGTTTTCACATTGAACTGAAATGGACTTCACATATACAAGTGAATCAGGGCTAACTCTAGAAGAGTTAGATGGAGTCATGGATGGACCATTGGTTGGACAATATTAGACTTTAATTTTCAGCAATCAACTGCTGCCGTTGATTCTTTTCTCTTTTTTTACGTAAAAGCTGCATTAAATGATTATTGTCCACTAGAGGGCAGAATGTAGAATTTAAAATAGACTTTCATCAACAAATCTTTACTTTATGAACTTGTCAAGATCTTCTAGCTCACACCTTAGCGTACAGAATTTCTCTCCACTGTTTCTTGCTGAGCAGGTCATGTTGAGGGGGTTGGTAAAAGCTATATGGACTATAACTTGATGGATCAGAAAACCAAAACAATGTGATGAAATTGGTTGAGAGCTTTGAAAAGCTGTGGATTTGGTTGGGGGTGGTGGTGATTATGAGTAATGTATGTCTCTTGAGAGCTTAAGTCTAAACACTGAGTCACAGTTTTTTGGGGATAATTCAAGCTTATCTCAATACTGAAGACAGACAGACTGATGTACCCTTTATACTGACGTAAACTGTGTGTCTGTCCTTTCTGACATCCTGCTGTTCCTGTAACCATAGGCTATATTTAGAGTCAGTTAATGTTTTAGCACTGTATAGAGCACTCAATACAAATGTCAAAGAAAGTGATTCTAGTATTGATTAGTTTAGTATCACACGGACTGTTATGCATGGTACAGTAGAGCAGCAGTTGACATTCAGTGGAGGACAATCAGGACTGTATATCACTACACGTGTTGACACCCGGCACTTTGTCGCTATGTACAGTCTGGGACTTGATGTACAGTGTGACTGAGCTGGCAGGCAGGGACAGTGGCGGACTCAGGCTGTTTGAGGGGCAGGGGCAGGAAAATAGAAAGAGCGCCAGAGCACAAACAATTGTGATGCATTAATAGTAAAACAGCTCACTCAGGCACTGATGTGCAGTGTTTTTTAAACTTTAACATCTATAACAACAGTTGTGTTAGTCAGTTATGAAATAGAATCGAACTTAACAAGTTCGAGATCGATTGAGACAAATGAAACAGCAGTCGATTTATTGACGTTTTTCACAGCAGCCATTTTGACATGAACTAGTAGGGTAAACACAGGTGTTACTTAGGAATAAACTATTTGGTTAAAAAAAAGATAATTCGATTATGTTAACAGGTATTGCGATATGATTCATGATTAGTGCGAAAATTAAGATTTTTGAGCCACAAATTAAATTTTCACTGAAAAAAAATATTAAAATCATGATTGACAATGATATAGAATGACAATTTGTAGAATTTGGAGATTCGTAGGTCAGGGTACTCTTCAGAACAACAGTACTTAAATAAAATGCTGTTTTGTCACACATTTGACCTTTATCAAAAAAAACACAGCTTCTGTGATTTGCATGCCACATTGCCACATTGCAATGTTGATAATACTTTGATTAATTGTGTGGCCCTAGTGTTACCAATGATACTAATTAAGGACATATATTAAGCGTAGCAGAGCTAGTGAGCCAACAAGCTCAATAGCAGCACCCTGACTCTGTTTGACCTGAATGGAACAGAACCTTTGTTACTATCATTGGTAACATTTGGCTGCTGTGAAAAAAGTCTATTGTTTGGATCATTTCCCTGTGTAAAGGGTATTTATAACTTTAGAGTGTAATATTATCATAATCTGTGTGACTTTTGGTGCCATAATGTGCTGGCAAAATAAAAATTGCAACCCAGTCTTCAAATGATGTATATGCAAATTTTCTGAATCCATTATTTGGTTTTGGGCAAACATAATGCTGACCCGCACTGTTCAGTGCCAGTGGAGTTAGCAGTGTGGCTCCATTGGCACTGTTCATATCCCAAAGGGAAAGTGAAGCAGTTGGTGTATTTGGATTTTGGCCCAACTCACACAGCGAGTGAGTGTATTCAAAGTTTTGTCATTTATCAGTGAAGATAGTCTTTCTCCCAACTCTATCCACTGGTTTGCCTAAACAAAACTACACCTTTAATGTACATTATTTGCTATGATTGGATAATAACCAGTGACAAATTAATGACAATGAACACATGGTGTCAGACACAATTGCTTTGCACTAACCAACCAGTAATAATAATAATAATAATGAAAATGATATGATAATAAACTTTATTGACATAGCACCTTTCATAACAGAATGCAGCTCAAAGTGCTTCACTAGAGAAACAAATCAATGACACAGGTATTAAAAGCAGGCAACATAAAGAGTGATAAAATAGGTGCCTGGCCCCTTACTGTCCTTTTCAGTCAACATGGAAGCTGTGGTGGTACTTAGCAGTTAAACACTTTTTACACTTTTCAAAGAACTGAGAGTTGCTATTCTTGTAAGTCAAGCATGTACAGCTTTGCCACTGCCATTTTTATGCAAATGTTTCTGGCTCTGGCACAAGAAGATGACCTTTCAATTCTTAATCCCACCTATAAAGCTCTTTTTGGTCAATTGTTTTTCTAGTGAGCTCAATGCCAGACTCAGTG